TGAAAAAAAAAAAAGTCTGCCAGGAACAGCCATCCAGGGACTTCACAGAGCTGAGATTCATTTTCAAATTCAGTCTCAGATGGTTGGAAAGAAGCTTCAGGTTTTGGGGGGGTGGGGTTGTCCTTTTTTTTGGTTGGTCGTGGAGCTTGAACTCTGGGCCTGGGTGCTGTCCCTCAGCTCTTCAGCTCAAGGCAAGTGCTCTACCAATTGAGCTACAGCGCCACTTCTGGTCTTCTGGTGGTTTATTGGAGATAGGAGTCTCACAATCTTTCCTGCTCGGGTTGGCTTTGAACTGTGATCCTCAGATCTCAGCCTCCTGAGTAGCTAGGATTACAGGCATGAGCCACTGGCACCTGGCTGAGTTTTTTGTTTTTTTAAATTTGTTTTTCTTGTGCTGGTCCTGGGGCTTGAACTCAAGGCCTGGGCACTGTCCCTGAGTTTCTTTTTAAGACTAGTGCTCTATCACTTGAGCCACAGCTCAATATCTGGCTTTTTGGTAGTTTATTGAAGATAAGTCTCACGGACTTTTCTGCTTGAAAGACCCTAGTCCCCTAGGATACTTTTGTCAACGGGAGGGTGCCCCAGAAACCAAGACTCCAAACCAGTAGATGCAACAAGCAAGAGGAGTTTATTCACCATTTGCGCAAATGGTCTCTCTGCCTCTGCAAGGGAGAGAGCCCCGAGCAGCGGTTACAGGCATTCTTAAAGGCAAAAACCACAAGATTAGCATATAACACCAGGTGTCCGGGGATTGGCCCATTTAAAAGTCACTATACACTCCAGCAATCATTTTTACAATGCAGGGAAGTTTATAACACTCTTTGTAAAACAGTTGGCTCCGGGCAAGTCTAGGGGGAGCGGTCACCCTGGAGGGGAGTTTACATAGTTACAGGCTTGTGATTGATTAACATTTGGCCTAGTTTGCTGGACTTGCCAGGTGGTCCTTATCTTGAGTCCCTATCTTGGATCCCATTTAGCCACTTAGGGAATTTTCAAACAGGAACTAGAAAAACATATACCTGTTTGTTCTTTATCTATGACCACAGACCTTGTCCCGGGCCTGCATCTGGGCTCCGAGACTTTTTTTCACTCAATTCCTAATTTCCAGAAGGGAAAGCGCGAGCAAGTTTACAAAAGCAAAATCAGCAGTTAGCAATTGTAAAATGTAATTCTAATTTTTAATCTTTCATGCTAAAGCTGGCTTTGAACTTCAATCCTCAGATCTCAGCCTCTAAGCAACCAGTATTTCAGGCATAAGCTGCTGGAGCCTGGAAAGTGAGAACTTTTTATTGATAGGAGTGCTGTCTATTTTCCCTGTGTCACCCATTATTCTGATAACCAATCGTAAATAAAGTGGGAGCCTGACTTTTTGGTAAGGAGAGACAGTTTGGGTTAGGATGAAAATCAAGCAGACCATAGAATCCCAGCTCCTACAAATGTATTTCCTGCAAATATATCCACCAACTCAGATAAAAAAAAAGGGCAAGGAGTCTTTGTTAGTGGTGGCGACTACGCTCCCCTTGTCAGACAGTGAAGCATAGCAGTCAGGCTCTGTCACAGCATGGCTTATATAGGAAAGAGATCATGTGCAGGTGGCAGTATACTGACAAGAGCTACATGTAGGTAGTGATGTACCTGACAGAAACAGTCAATAATCATAAATAACAAATTCCAGTAAACAAGGCAAAATCAGAAGCAAAGACCATATTCCAGATTTTTCCTTTGTTAGGGGTTTAACTGATATTTACCAAAACATGCTCCAAGCTTTCTATTTACAACACATCCTATTTACCAAAAACATATTTCACACCTCCCAGGTTCCTATTTACCAATTCTAAAGCCAAATTACCTTCTGGATTCCCAGGCTTTTCCTGAATTCCGCTACATTCCAGTAACCTGATGTTTAACTTGTTTATAATTTCATTCTTTACTTTGGGTCTTTACCTCTAGAATTTCCCTTTATTGCTTTGCTCTATTTTAACAATTAATAATTTTGTTCTATTTCTGATTTCACATTTTACAAGACTATCTCCAGCCAGTATGCCTATCTGTCTCTATCACTCTCTACAGAGAGTGGCACCCTTCTGCACAGAAGTAAATTGCCTTGACACAATCTCCTTTACATCTTGTATGTGAAATCATTACATCTTGTATGGAGATTTGTGTGTTTCCAACAAGTGTGAGCTTACCCAGCATCCCCATTTCATCCAGAGAAGATGGGCCCCACCTTCTTCTCTGGGAGATATGCCTTGCTGTCCTATTATGGCAGCTCCATGAATGGTCCATCTGCAGTGACTTCCCTGACCAGGGAATAAGCCTAGTACCCTAGAAATCTCCCCAACAAAGATTAAAGAGCTCTTTCCCAATTGGGAAAGACAACTTTCCCAATGATCTTGTAAGCCTATACACATAGACCATCAGCAAGAAATATCATAGGGTGACCAATTATTGCTCTGATAGTCAGATTCTGGAGGTTGTGTGGTCTGTGAACGAGGAGGCTAGGCTCTGAGGATCGTGTTTTGAAGCCAGCACAGGAAAATCCATGAGACTTTTTTTTTTTTGGTTGGTCGTGAGGCTTGAACTCTGGGCTTGGGCACTGTCCCTGTGCTCTTCAGCTCAAGGCAAGCATTCTACCACTTGAGCCACAGCACCACTTCTGTTTTTCTGATGAGTTATTGGAGATAAGAGTCTCACGGACTTTCCTACTGAAGAACGTAAACATATATAGACAGCACCTAACAGCCATTTTCGCTTCTGTACCTTTGCTTGCTAAAAACTCTGCTAAAACCTTGAGGAGTGGAGTGAAAGAGGCAGAAAACTGGACTGCCCTCATCAAAGTAGGCAAGCACTGTCCCGGCCACCTCGACCAGCAAGGAAGACGCGACACCGAGCTCTTCTCTCTGCAGTTTATTCAGGACCTTTGAGTAATCTTCTGACCGCAACCCCGGGGAAAATTCCCCACAGCCTTAAGTACCCGCTGGGTAGCCAACCCTGATACGCCACGTGGGAACCACCAATAGGTTCAGGTGCGTGGAAGCAAGCCAGATTCTTTGCCTTTTCTCCCAGTGTTTCCCTTGGCTTCTCCACAACCTATTTTTGTTTCTTTCTTTTTTATTATTATTATAAACAAAAATGGAGAATGCAGCAGGGTGCTAGTGGCTCACCCCTGCAATCCTAGCTGCTCAGGAAGCTGAGATCTGAAGGTTGCAGTTTAAAGCCAGCCTGGGCAAAAAAGTCGGTGAGATCTCCAATAAACTAAAAAACAAAAAACCAAAACCCAGAAGTGGAGTTGTGGCTGTGATGATAGAGCATGTGAGCAAAGCATCTTTTCTATCAGATTGTGAATTTGAGCTTCGCCAATGGGAGCAGGGGGCAGGGCCTGCTGAGATGGGGATAAAAAGGGGAGCAGCCTGCCTGCTTGTACACACACACACACACACACACACACACACACACACACACACACACACACAGAGAAATTCAGTCATTAATGCTCAAGGCTCCAACAAGAAAAGAGGAGGGGGAGAGGAAGTATCATTTTAAACAATTCCAAGCAGGTTGCTGTGACTAATTGAGAGCTTGCAAGAAGGTTAAACAAATAATATTGATCAGTTTTGTTCTTTTTTTTGGGTCCGGTGGTGGGGCCTGAACTCTGGGCCTGGGCGCTGTCCCTCAGCTCTTCAGCTCAAGGCTAGCACTCTACTACTTGAGCCACAGCGCCACTTCCAGCTTTTTTTTTTCTTTTTGCTTATGTGGTGCTGGGGAATTGAACCCAGGGCCTCAGGCATGCAAGGCAAGCGCTCTACCACTGAGCCACCTTCCCAGCCCTGATCAGTTTTATTCTAAGTGTAGTTTGAATCACTTTTATGGGACGATTAGCAAATTTCTAGACAGACTACACCAGCACTATCTAAAGACAGATATCATAAATCATAAAAGAGGTTCCATATGGAACTTTTAAAATTTTCTAATAACTTCCGTGAATTAAAAACAACAGGTAAAATGAATTTAGTGTTTTATTTAACGAAGATTTGACATATACCATTGTAATATGTTTCCATGAAAAATTACTGATGTGATATTATATATAGTTGACAATTCTGTATTATTTTTGGATTATATTTCTCTACATTGTACATTGGTCCATGTTTTTCAATTGCAACTCATCTCAATTGTATCCTCGATAGTAGTGTATCTTCCCACATTTTTCCTTTTAATCCAAACTTTCAGAATTAATAATGTTTTCTTGCTTTTCCAAGCTTTTATTTCGTCATCTCAGTGTCATCCATTGTAGCATTTTAACATACAAACAAGAAAACTCACTATTTGTTAAACATTCAATATATTTTTAAAGATACATGTGACTGTACCAATATATAACATGGAATGAGTCATAGATCATACAATACAGTAATATAAAAATAGTGTGTAAAAATTAGGATAATGTTATGAAATTAAAATACAGCATTAAACTATACCATGAAATTGAGATAATATAGTAGTATTAAACTCTGCCATGAAATATTGACTATAAAATAATAATATAAAACAACAGCATCCCTCTGCACCATCTGTTGTAAAGAACTCTCTGTAGTAACCCTTGCCTGGGCCACTTCCTGCCAGCCTCTGCTCTGTCTGTAACCTACAGTTACCCTCTTCTCTTGCCACCCCATTATACTTAAGTTCGCATGCCCCAAAGTATCTTTTGGAGGATAGTAGCCCCAGTCTTTAGATGGTAATGATCTCGAATGCATCATCTGCTTCTGGCTTATAGAAGAAAGGGAGGCCGGACTCTCCACCCCCATCTGTGGGCTCTTGCTGGGGCTGGATGGCAGGCAGCAGCGGCACAGGAGGCTCTGCAATGGGGTTCTCCAGGGGCCCAGGCACCCCAGCCTCTTCAGGGACAGGCTTCAAGTTTTCTTGAAGATGCACATCTTCAGAGCCTTGCTGCTCCTCCCTGACCTCTGTCTTCAGGGGGCCTGAGAGGTCTGAGGGAGGGCCTACACAGCAGGGGTCTGGGCGGCTGCCAGCATCATGTCCTGGCACTCTGTGCTCTCCCCTGTAAGGCGCAGCAACAGCTCCTTCAGCTCCTTCCTCTTCCTCCTCTTCTCCTGGGACAGCTGGCTCACACACTGCTCTTTCTCCTGACACAGCTTCTCCAGGACTTCCAGCTGTTCTTTGTACAGCAAGATGGTCTCTTCCATGGCACTCACGTGTAGGGCCAGCTGGCTGCAGCGATGGTGGAGGTCATCCACGTGACTCTGGGGGTGCCCCTTGCCGGCCAGGTCTTCAGGGAAGCAGATGTGCAGCTGCTTCTTGGGCGCCTGTGTGTCCTGCTTCCTCTTGGCGAACAGCCCGTGGATGCAGCGCTGGGGGAAGGTGGCCTGGCTCTCCAGCTTTCTCTGGCACTGGGCTGCCAGCTGACTCAGGCACCCGCAGCGGGCCTGCTGCTCCTGAAGCTGCCGGCTCATCCTCGCCTTCCTGCCTTCTGCGATGGACAGTGCGTCCATGTAAAAATCCCACATGCTCTGCGGGTTGTCTACATCCTCTGGGACAGTCACATCATGGGGAGTTGCCTCCTCACCCTTGTCTTCTTCTTGGCTCAGGCCTTCATCTTCCCTGGGGAAAGCCAGGGCGCTCAGCTGGGCCTGCAGCTACGCATTCTCCTGTCTTGTTGCTTCCAGACACATCAGAGTGTCCTGTAACTTCTCCCTTTCCATCTGGGCCAGCAACTTGCTCTGCACCTGCTCCTGCTTCAGCTGCTCCATCAGATGGCTCTGATTCAGCAGGTGCTGCTGCAGGGCCTCCTTCTCTGACATCAGCTGCTGGCTGGTGGCCTTGTGCTGTTTGCAGGTGGCGCTCAGCTCCTGCACCTGGGCCAGGTACTTGTCATGCAGCTCCTGCAGATCCTCAGCTGCTTGGCGCTTGAATTCATCGGAGTCCTTTCCTTCTCTCAAATTCTCCTCCAGCTCATCCAGCTTCGCCTGCAGGGTTGTCTTCTCCTGCTGTTCTGTGTGCAGGATGCTGGCGAGCTCCCCCTTCCCAGCGCTCAGCCTCTGCAAGGCATCCTGCAGCTGGGCCAGCTCTTCTTTCAGCTCACAATTGTGCACCAGCGTGCATGTCAAGGTCTCATGTTCTTTCTCCATGGTCTCCAGGATCTTGCGCCGGTCCTCGGCATGCTGTGCCCATTCCTCAGCCTTTTTTTCCAGTATCCACAGCCGCTGCTGCTGCTCCAGGTTCTGGAGACTGAAGCTCTGGTTCTCCTCCACCTGGAGGTGAAGTTGCTCCTCCAGGGTCTTGAGCTCCTCCTGCAACTGCAGGGTGTGGGCCTGCAGCTGCTGCTCAGCCTGAGCTGGCCCTGCAGGCGGCTCTGGGGGCCGCAGCTCTGACAGCTGCTCTCTCAGCTCCACCAGCTTGCTCTCCAACTCCAACACCTGCCTCACCCCTTGCTCCTTCTCCTCTCTCAGCTGGCTCACCTGCTCTAGCAGCTGCTGGACTTTCTCCTTCCCCGTGGAGCTCTCCAGCCTCAGGTCCTCCCCAAAGGTGCCTCTCTCCACCTTTAATATTGCCACCAACTCCTTCATGCTGTTGAGTTGGCTTTCCAACTCTGCCCGCTCCACTAGTTCCTCTTGGAACTTGTGGATTTCCATTTTCATGTCAGCCTTCTGTGTCAGGAGCACTTCCAGCCTCTCCTGCAGCTCGGTGTTCTCCTCCTCCAGGTCTTCATAGCTTTTGACCTTTTCCTGGAGCTGCAGCTTCACGCGATTCAGGGCTTTCATGAGCTCTACGTTGTTGTGCTCGGTCTCATTCTGCGTGGTGTTGACTGCAGACAATGTTGTTTCCAGTTCTGTTACGCGCTGCTGTGCAGCCTGCAGGCAGCTGGTAAGACCCTCCTGCTCCAGTGCTCTTTCATCGGCCTCTTGCTGCTTGTGGGCCAGGGCAGATTGTAAGTCTGATTTGTCTCTAATCAGCATCTGTATAGACAGCTTGTGCTGCTCCAGCTCTGCTTTCAGGGCTTCGTGCACACAGGCCATCTTCTCCTTGTCTTTTCCCTGTTGATCCTGCAGCTCTTGGATCTCAATGCAGAGCTGCTGCTTTTGTATTGTGCTGGAGTCCAGGGCAAGCACCAGGTGTTGGTTGTGTCTCTCCAGGTCCTTGGTGTTATTGGGACCTGTGACGCTCTGGACCCTGGCAGCTGTGACAGTGCCCAGGGGAGGGGGAGGCTCAGGGTCTGCGTGGTCTTGAGCTGCCCCCTTGAGTAAAGGACAGTCCCCAGCGGTGTTTGTCTTGGGGTTACCTCCCTCTTTCATTTTCCTCTTCTTGGATTCTGCAGGTCTAGCAGGACCATTCCTCTGCTGGTATTGTTGCAGTAGTTTTCTTCCTGAAGCTACTTTTTTTCTTCTTTTTTTCTCAGACATCCCAGCACTGGGACGGCGAAGGTGGGAGGGCCACATTCCCAGGCTGTCTAAAATCAACTCTGTTCTATCACCAGTAACTCTGTCTACCTCTAACTATATCTCCCAAATCACCTTGATTCGCTCACTCACCACTCACCACCTCTACCTCCCTCAACTGCTGTAGTGGTGTGAGCCAATAGAGGGGATCCTAGTGCTATTAGGCAGCATGAAATGTGGGCATGGCCTCAATTCTTTTGTATCCCATTGGTCAGAGAAACATAGAAGAAAAGGGGGCGTGGTCAGACCCTTCTGATCCAGGCAGAAGGAATGGAGCCATGAGATCTACTCTGCCGCCCCTCCCTCACCCACCTTTCTCTGACACCAGAATGCAGGTGATGAGTGAGTGACAGCCAGCAGGGGCAGTGCATCACTTTACAGTCTGTTCCCTCATTTCACAATGTGAATTTACTTCCAATGTATTCATCATATAGTCTTCTGGTCCGCCCTAGTTTTGCAACTCTCTCACTCCTTAGTGGAAAGTTTCAGATCCTGGTAGTGTGTCTGTCCTCTACTTACCTGGATTCACTTCTAGATCCACTTCCTAGCTACTGTTTTTCCTGCACATCTAGTGTATGCTGCTCCAATAGAGAAGGCATTGGAACCAACTTGCTTTTCTCTTGGGATTCCACTCCAGGACTGAATCAGAACTGAACACTTGCCAGGGGCCTTCTAATGCCCAGTTAATATGTTTGTGCTCTTTTCCCCATCCCAACCCAACTGCATCGTATTGTCTCAGCTCTCTGCAAGGACTTCCCCAGCACACTGGTGTGGTGTACTGACCACATAATAAGTGGTGAATAAATCACATTGGGGAGCCCTAGAAATTCTATTAGTTTCCTAATGAAAGGATGATTAAGCATAAGTAGCTGATACTGAAACAATAAGCAAATACTTTGCATACAATAATATTTCTTTTAATCCTAGTCTGTTTTTAGGGGTGTTTGGTTGACAGGAATAGGTGCTCCTAAGCTTTGTCACATGAGTTTGCAAATTCTATGAGCTGGAGAACATTTGTAATCTGCTTTTTCCTCTTGCTAATGTTAGAAAAAAGCAATATTTTTGGTAAAACCAAACTATATCCAACTTGTCACCAGACAATATTTTGTATTGATATTTCCTGGAATTATTTGCTTCTTGGCTTCAAACTGTAACTGTCAACTGGGTTGGTAACCAGCCAGCCAGTCAAGGATCTGAATCCTAATGTATTGTTTTAAAGAACAATCCTCTTGAATGGGAGATTTTTTTCATTGACAACACTTTCTAGCTTCCTGAAAATCACCATCCTGATAGCCAATCACAACATGAGAGATTTTGCCAGCACAGGTGAAAGAACTCTAAAAGGTGCTGGTGGCTCACACCTATAATCCTAGCTACTCAGGAGACTGAGATCTAAGGATCTCAGGTTAGAAGCTAGCCCAGGCAGAAAAGTTCATGTGACTCTTTTTTTGGGGGGGGGGGGAGGGGTCCAATCATGGGGCCTGAACTCTGGGCCTGGGCACAGTCCCTCTGCCACGCCTACTCCAGTGGAGTCTGCTTAGCATGGAATACCTGCTATCAGAGAATGGGGCTTCACAGAAGCCTACCTCTGAGAATGGGGCTTCACAGAAGCCTACTTCTGAGAGTGGGACTTCAAAGAGGCCTACCTCCTGGAAAGTCTGGCAAGCCCCTGGGAAAGATGTGTTCCTGTTCCTGTTTCTCTTTTTTTTGCTGTATAGGAGTGTCCATTAATCTTTTACTGTTCCTGCTGCTTGTTCTACTTACTCATGCTCAATGTTCCCTTATTCAGGGCTCTTTCTTGGAAGAGATAACGACTCCAACATCTGATGAGTGTCTTGAGAATATGACTAACTCACCAGAGTTAAGTGCTACCCTGAAAGCCCCTCTTATGGAGGCTATTAGACAAATCATAAGTAAATATAAAAGCATTGGGGGTTTCATGATGTCACTTCAGCAGAAGGAATTGTTTGTAAGAGATTTACAAGAAGCTGTAGGCACGGCTAGAGCAGAAAGAGTGTATGGTTACTGGAGACTTTCCTTTAATCCTGAAGCATATACAATAGATTCATATAGATATCCTGTAGATAAGAAAGATGTAGAGGGATATTAGACCAAAAGCTAAATAAGATTCCTAAAAGGTTGATAGATGGAAGGTGGCAATGGCTTATCAGAGGAAAATGGTGGGATCCTCCATCATCTAGAGGACCCCAAAGACTTCTCCCAGATCCATAGCCTTTTACAGTTGTGTATGATAAGGATGGCAACCATTGGGTAAACTACTTAAGAGAAAGAACTTCCTATTACTCTCTTCCATTTACTGAGAGACTTGCTAGATCTAGGTCTCCTTGGTGCTTACTATCAAAAAAGGAACAAGGAAGATCTTATGAGATAGTTAAGGCCTTTATGGAGAAGAGTAAACGATTATGTGAAAGGGTTACAGAGAAGACACTATGAGCCTAATTTGATATATGGCCAGATTTAACTAAGTATACTGAATATCATGATTTTTGGCCACAAATTGGGGACCCTCTAAAGAATGGCAAAGAAGCACAATTGCTTAGAAAAGATTTGAAATGCATAAAGTGCAAAACTAAACAAAAGTAACAATAAAGTACTCGAGTTCATGCCTTTCTGTCTAGCACCTTGCCCATATGCTCTGGTTAATGGTTAATAGGTGATAAGCATCTTGAAACTGATTGTATTTTGCTATTCTTAAAAATAGAGGTAAAGGGGACTGGGAAGGTGGCTCAATGGTAGAGTGCTTGCCTTGCATGCCAGAGGCCCTGGGTTCCATTCCTCAGCACCACATAAGCAAAAAGAAAAAAGCCAGAAGTGGCGCTGTGGCTCAAGTGGTAGAGCGCTAGCCTTGAGCTGAAGAGCTAAGGGACAGTGCCCAGGCCCAGAGTTCAGGCCCCATGACTGGACCCCCCCCCCCCCAAAAAAAAGAAAAAATAGAGGAAAGGCCTGGAACAAGTACCTATTGTCATAGCTCATCATCCAAAAACAAGATCAGGCGACCAGCTGGTGACCACTCAAGAACAAAGCCTTGCAGCAAGATTGTGTAACCTTCTGCCCTTTCTCATGGAGACTTTTTTCTATAAGAGCTTGTTATCCTCTGCAGTAAATCGCACTCAGCATTCACTCCTCTTGTGTGAGTTGTCTGTTTGCCATCTCCCCACCTGTTCCAGTTACCTCCACTAGGTGTCCTCCGTCGCCCCGACAGAGCCGGTCCGCCGTATCCCTCAGCTCTTCAGCTCAAGGCTAGCGCTCTCCCACTTGAGCCCCAGCACCACTTCTGGCTTTTTTCTTTTTGCTTATGTGGTGCTGAGGAATCGAACCCAGGGCCTCCTGCATGCAAGGCAAGCGCTCTACCACTGAGCCACCTTCCCAGCCCCTCCATGTGACTCTTATCTCCAAATAATCACCAAAAAAGTTGAAAGTAGAGCCATGGCTCAAGTGGTAAAGATCTAGCCTTGAGCACAAAAGCTCAGGGACAGCGCCTAGAACCAAGTTCAAGCCCCAGGACTAGTGCACACACACACACACACACACACACACACACACACACACACAAACAACAAATGGTTCCAGTGATCCCTAGCCTATTGCAGGAGTTACGTTCCCTCCAAAGGTGAAAATCTGTGAAGTAGCAGTGTTACATTTATTATTTATAATTTTTTCAGCCTTTAAAAACCCTTCCCACTCTTCTATAAACCTGTCCCACTCACTTACTAACTTTTCCCATACTCTATCAACACTGCATATTCTCTTATTCTCTTAAAGACTTTCTCTGTTTTTTTTTTTTGGGGGGGGGGTCTGGTAGTGAGGCCTGAACTCTGGGCCTGGGCACTGTTCCTCAGCTCTTCAGCTCAAGACTAGCTCTCTACCACTTGAGCCACAGCACCACTCCTGGCTTTTTTCTTTTTGTTTATGTGGTGCTGAGGAATCTACCACTAAGCCACCTTCTCAGCCCCTCTTTTTTTTTTTTTTTTAATTTAATTTTATTTTATTTGAGAACATACTGTACAGAGGGGTTACAATTACATGGGCAGGATAATGCATACATTTCTTACCAAGCATTGCAGCCTCCTCCTTTGTTTACCCTTCACCTCCCTTCCCAGCCTCCCCCCTCCCCCCCCACCCAATCATACCCCCCCTCCCCCCCCCCACACCGACATTGTAAAGCTCCTTTTTGACATGACATTTTGTACTTCTCATTGTTGCAACAGATCCACCTGAATCCTTAAACAACTTGTTTGTCCCCATCTCCTCCATTGTAGCTGTGATTTTAAGCTTAATTGCTATTACCACTGTTGCTGTGGTGTCTGGAATTGCCCTACACACATCCTTACAAACTAAACACTTTGTGGAAGATTGGCACTGGGATTCACATGAATTGTGGGTCTCACAGGTAAAAATTGATGCTCAGTTACAAACACAGATTAATTTTCTTGAACAGATGGTGGGATGGTTAGGAAAAAAGTTATTGGTTGTGGAAAAACAGTTATTATTAAAATGTGATTGGAATCCTACTACCTTTTGCATTACTACTGTAAAATATAATAAATCTATACATGATTGGAATGTAATACAGCAGTATTTATCTGGAAATTCTACTGCTGCTCAATTGATTACTCAGTTACAATTTAATGTACATGATATTTTTGGTAAACAATTTGCAAATGATGATGCTTCTAATATTGCTAATGCATTTATTAAACAGTTGGAAGGGTTGGATCCAAAAGAAATACTACAAAGCATTTCACATACTGCTAGTGGAAGCAAAAGCTTCCAATAAGTGTTGTATTACATGGTTAACAGTTTCTCCCGTAAGGGCAGAAGCCCAAACAAATTTA